TGTTGGTGACTCAGTTAAGAAGACAGCAATAGCCCAAAGAGATCCATCAGGTAAGGTGGGAGTGATCAAGGGTATCACAGCAGAGACTTTTCATGCTCCTTCTGAAATGGGCAGAAAGCCATTGTGGGGGTGGAGGCAAGAGACACCTTGTGATACAAGTGTTTCAATCAGAGTAGAACAGGAGGCCCTATTTAGGGACTGCAGTGTGCAAGCGTTGGAACAAGGGTGTGCTGCACTCACGTGGTTTGCATTACAGGTAGACAGTAGTATATTCAGTTTCTACATACAGTTTAAAAGGTTAATAGATGGTGTTTTCGGATGACATGGATGTGGGATAAAAGCAAATAAAAGCTCAAGGAGAATTCCAAAGTATGGGAGAATGGAAAGAGTATGGGGAAGAATAGTTCTGATTTTGTGTTTTTATCTCTGCTGCATTTATCAGGCTTCTTCTATACATATGTTCACTTCTAGACCAGTCTGTGCAACCTCCTCCCATAAGTGGCAAAGCTCAGTTGGAATTCACGCCTCTGGTGTGGATGTATATGCCTGTGGCCAGTGCCCAAGGGGCAACTTTGGTTCTAGTGGCAAAACCCAGCAATTAAAGAGCTCAAAAAATTTTTTTAAAAAAAAAGAGGGGGGGGGGCGGTCCTGCTAGGGCTAGGAAGGTGGCTCAGCGGTAGAGCGCTGGCCTCCATGCATAAGGCCCTGGGTTCAATTCCTTGGCACCACATACACAGAGGCGCTGTGGCTCAAGTGATTTAGTGCCAGCATCGAGGTGAAGAGCTCAGAGACAGCACCCAGGCCTAGAGTTCAAGCCCCACAACTGACCAAAAAAAAGGGGGCAGGGGAGTACTCCCATCTTAGAGTTTGTCTGGAAGGCTGCGGTGCTGGGCATCTTTGCTGGCTATAAGTGGGTTCCCCAGAACCCAAAAGGAGCATATGGCTCTTCTTAAAACTGAAGGTGTTTATATCCAAGGTGAAACCAAATACTGGTCGGACAAGAGATGTGCTTACGTATAACAAAGCCAAAAGCAATATTGACTCTTAGAAGCAAACGTAACAAAACCAGTCACCTGGGGAAAGGTAACAGATATTCATGGCAACACTGGCTTGATGGCTGCCAAATTCTGAAGCCACCTTCCTACAAAGGCCAATGGACACCGAATCCATGTATTGCCGGATTAAATCTAATGAAGATCAAATGAAGTGGGTTTGGTGCTCTTGTAAAACAAAATAAAATGGCCCTAGAGGGAAAAGGAAGAGTTACAGAGGGGGTAAAATTGACTAGAAGATATTATAAACATGTGGAAACTTAACAGTGAAATCCCACTGAATAATTAATGTAATTTTTTAAAGCCCTAAATGAGCAATGAACTTGAGGAGTGCCACAAACCTCTTCCCACTATATACGGAGCCACAAAGTAGACATATATACATATTAGATATATGTATCTAACAGCATGTCCCTAAAGGCTGCTCTAGCTGAAGCCTGTCTACTGCCTCACTCCTGGGGTCTGAGCCCAAACTACTCACCCACAAAAATTAGCTCCTTATAATTTATGATTTAGAGCCAGGCACTGGTGGCTCATGCCTGTAATCCTAGCTACTCAGGAGGCTGAGAGCTGAGGACTGTGGTTCCAAGCCGGCCCAGGCAGAAAAGTCCTCATGAGACTCCCAATTAACTACTCAAAAAACTGGAAGTAGTGCTGTGGCTCAGTTACCACGATCAGTAGGTAAGAGTGCTAGCCTTGAGCAAGAGCTCAGAGACAGCACCAAGGCCCTGAGTCCAAGCCCATGACTGACAAAACAAATTATGATCTACAAATGTTTTGTATTTAATTCAGCCACATTTTCTTTTTTAGATTTACACTGTTTCAAAATATAATGCACTGAAATGCTACATAAGTAATATATTGTCTTTTTTGCAATTTTAAGGATGCAGGAAAAAAAAAAACAATGTATCAAACCCCACCACACCTCCACCACAGCAGTTACCCAAACTGATTTCTTATTTATGTATGTATGTGTTTACTTTTTATTTGTGAAGTGGGGGAGGGTGGCGCGCATGCCAGTCCTGGGACTTGGGACTATCCCTGAGTTTTTTGCTCAGGGTCTGTGCACTACCACTTGAGCCACAGTTCCACTTCTGGTTTTTTAGCAATCAGCTAGTGATGAGTCTCATGGACTTTCCTACCCAACCTGGCTTCAAACTGTGTGTGCTCCTTGGATCTCAGCCTTCCGAGTAGCTAGAATGACAGGTGTGAGCCTCAAGTGCCTGGCTCCAAAGTGGATTTTAAGAACCCTTCAACGGTCCTAATCACCTTCTGCAGAGAAGCCAAGCTCACCTGATCTGAGATTCAAGTTGATGCTACAAGCACAGCCCACTCTCCCTCACATTATTTTATTTTTTGTTTACATGGTACCAAGGGATCGAACCTAGGGGCTCATGCATGCTAGGCAAGCACTCTACCACTAACCCACATTCCCAGGCTGTCCCTCACATTATAAATGAAGGTAAATAAAATAGATCCTTGTAATAGTTCTGATAAGAAAAATCTTGACATTCAATATGCCACCTGCCAGTTGTTAGAACACTGAGGTGGGACTTTTTTTCTTTTGGCAGTCGAGGGGCCTCTTTGTGCTCAAGGCTAGCACTCTACTACTTGAGCCACAGCTCCACTTCTAGTGTTTAAGTGGTTAATTGGAGATAAAGAGTCTCACAGGGACTTTTCTGCCCAGGCTGGCTTTAAACTTTGAACTGCAATCCTCAGATCTCAGCTTCCTGAGTAGGTAGGCTTACAGGTGTGAGCCACCAGTACCCAGCTAAAGGTAACTTTTCTAGGTAGACTTTTGAGTAGGGTCACAAAGACCATCTTTAATATAGTTTTCCAGGGGCTGGGAATGTGGCTTAGTGGTAGAGTGCTTGCCCTGGGTTCAATTCCTCAGTAACACAAACAGAAAAAGCTGGAAGTGGTGCTGTGGCTCAAGTAGTAGAGTGCTACAGCGTTGAGCAAATGAAGTTCGGGGACAGTGCCCAGGCCCTGAGTTCAAACCCTAGGACTGGCAACACACACAACACAAAAAAACAGCAACCAAAAAACCCCAAATATAGCTTTCCACCTCTATTTTGGTTTGTATAGTAACTGTAGGGTTGCCATGTAGAATTTTTGGTCCAAGAATATAAATGGATTCTGATCCATACGGTTAAACATTACAACCTGACCTCCCCTATACTGTGACTACTTACCTAGAATTCTTTACTGCCTTCCCTAGAAGGCACACACACAGTGAAATGAGCCTACTGTTCTGGGAGCAGGTGCCATTGACAGCCTGTGAGCAGATTAGTTTTCACCTTCATTTCCAATACCCACTAAACTGTGCTCAACTGAGGGGACAAGGAGCAAAGAGCTGCTCCAGAAGGTGATGTGGCTAGTGTGATGTGGGCCCCAGTCTCAAGTTCAGATCCCTTCTGCCTCTACAAACTCAACTGAAGGTTCTGCTGCTAGCTTGGTCTGCTGGGAATCCTTCAGTTTGGTTCTACTACATTCCCAAGAAACTGGCTGTGTCTAGAAAGGATGGAGAACCAACAC